CTTTTTTTTTTTTTTTTTGGCATCTTTTTTTGAGATAGGGTCTCCCTATGCAGTTCAGGCTGGTCTTGAGCTCACTTTGTAGCCCAGGCTGGCCTCAAACTCACAATGGTCCTCCTGCCTCAGCCTCTGAAGTGCTGGGATTACAGGCACCAGCAGGCCTAGCTTTGAAAAGCTTTTGCACAGCAGAAGAAATCACCTACAAAGTGAAGAGACAACTCACAGTGTGAGGAAAAAGCTTTGTGGGGCAAAAGGGACCCTTGTGCACTGTTGGTGGGAGTGTAGACTGTGCACCCACTGCGAAAATCAGAGTGGAGATTCCTCACAAAACTAAAGCTAGAGCTTCCATTCAACCTAGCTATTCCCCTTCTTGGTGTCTTCCCAAAAGAATTAAAAGCGTCATAGCATGGCAATATTTGCACACCAGTGTTTATAGAGGTACAGTTTGAAATAGCTAAACCTTGGAAATAGCCCATATGCCCATCAGCTAATGAATGGATAAAGATGTGGGTTTTTTTTTTATGCAATGGAGTACCTCCCTGCCATAAAGAAGGATAAGCTTGAGACATTTCTAGCTAAATGGATGCATCTTGAGACCTTTCTCTTAAGTTAAATAAATCAGACACACATGTTCCAATATCCTTATTTCTCTAGTGTGAGACTTCAGAACTATAGTAAAGGAGCAAAATATATAACAGATACAGGGAAATGGGAAGAAGATGAGAAGCGGAGCCAGGAGGGAAGAGGGGCGAAGGAAAGAAGGGGCCAGAGGAAGGAAGAACAGAAACAGCTCCTAAGTAGCAGAGGAAGGGTGCTGAAGTGGGGGCGGGGAATGGGGAAAGAGGCAGGATCTGCCACAAGGGGGTAGAAATGCTCTGTCGTGAATGTTACCGTGTATAGTAAATTGTACCAATAAAATAAAAGTTAACAAACATTGCTCTTGTTGATAGGAGAGAATATTTGCCTTTGAAAAGGCATTGAAAGTATTGATTGTACTTGAAATAAAAAGAAGTAGCACATTGTCTTTCAGGGCCCTCTGTAACTTGGCTTAAATAACCCTTTCCGTCTCCTACTTCTCCAAGGACTCGGTAGCCCTTTGTTCAAAGCATGTGTGAATCATCTTGCTCATGTCTAGGATTCCCTTAACTCAAATCCTCACACCCACAGCATCAGCATTGACTTGAGAGTATGTTAGAAAAACGTAAACTCTCGTGCCACCCAAAGCCACTGAGTTAGAATCGTGTAATAGGAAGATCCTGAGGATATTCATGGACACACTGCAGTTTTAGAAGAAAGTCCAGAATGGTCTTCCCAGTGACCCTGCAAATTCTGAAATTCGAGCCATTGCTCGGGGACACACGTATCCCCACTGCCTTTCGCACTGGCCCTTGGCTCCTGGAGGAGACGTGGTTTGTCAGCCCTGAAATCACTGCACTTGTAGGTGGCATCTCCAGTACTGAAGAGGCTTGCTCATTTGAGGATGCTGTTGATGCCTCAGCCATCCGCTAGCAAAATGGATTTTATAACTTCTTGAGAAACCTTATTTCAGTAATTATACTCATGCCTCTCATGACATTACAAATTGAGTGTTTAATTTAATACAAACTAATTTTTCAGAGTTATGAAGGTAGGCTATGGCACATAAAATATCGCTTACTCACTGAGATGACTGGTTCTGAAGAAATTTCTACCTTCTCTCAATGAACAGAAGCAAAAAGCTGAGGAAGCTCTGTACATTTTCAGCATAGCTGACACGTAATGACTGAATTATACCTGAGTCTACTGCATTCTCTGGATGTGAGCCCTCGCACGGTCACTGGCTTTGTGTGGCCTTTGGCAAGTACTTTTCTGTCTTAGTTTCTTCATCTATTAAGTGGAAGAACGATTTCACAAGCCTTTAAAGCCGTGTACTTACTTAGTGGCACTGGGGATTGAAACCAGGGCTGTCATACTATGCTAAATCCTCAGTCCTTTTAAAACTATTTTTAAGTTTTGAGGCAAGGCTCCTCACTAAGTTGCTAAATTGTGCAGAGCTGCTAAATTGCACAGGATGGGCTCAAACTTGTGATCCCGCCTCAGCTTTCCCGGGTGCAGGGATTACAGTCTCGGACTACCACACTTTGCGCCCCTGGGTTTTTATTATTAGCATAACCCGGGGATAAAATTATGTTACAACTCCAGAAAATGTTGCATTTTTGGTATGTAATAAACTCTTTGAAGGGCTATTTTTATTATTTAATTTTATTATTTGACACCTAGTAATGGTGCATACTTTTGGATTACAATCTGAGATGGATATTATTGTTACAATTTTATTTTAAATTTACATTGTACTTAATGTAACCATCTGAGCAAAACTCATACATAATTTCTTAATGTAAAATTATTTAGTTCACATTTACTTGTAATAACATATCCAAAATCAAGAGTTTTTAACTTTATGTATCGGTAGTTTTTTGAATCGTTGATGATTCAGCTAGCCACATTTGTTTAAATAATATGCAAAGTTGTTGAAGGGCAGAGGGTCAAAAACTGATGTGGCAATAAAGGCCTCCTTGCTTTTGAATAGATCGATATGTGTAAGCAAACCAGAGGCTCTTACAGATAAATATCCGGGAATGAATTGAAAACACTCACTGTTGGAAGGAGTAAGGGACCTGCGAGTACGCTCTCTGGAAGATTTAGTGAGCTGAATACATACACTATTCCACTTCTACTCCTTCCCTTTCTGTGAGGCTTCTCCATTTCAGTAGGTATCTGTATGCCTGATTGTTTGCAAGGACATTGAAGAGTTGAACTCTTTATTCGGTAGTAGATTTGAAATACAAATGCAAATTACAATCATTTGTAGTAGAATCTTTGTATATAATATCATATACACAATTAAAACATTTGCTACATGACTGTAGACACTCTTCAAATCTCATTAAAGGTGTAATGCAGCTGATAAAAAGTAGAGAAGGGCAATTTCAGTGCTGAAGTGAGGCGGACACGCTTCTTGCAAAGACGCTGAAATGATTAAATGTTAACTCTGGTCACAAGCCTATGAAAGTCAAGTGAAGACCAGGTCAGCTTCTTTGCCAGATCGCAGGATTGTCATTTACAAATTTAACAGGTAGAAGATCACGGAGCTTTCTCTTATGTTCTAGGATGAGTGTGAGCAGAGGGTCTTTCGACGTGGAACATAAACTTTAGAAGCAGAACCGTGCTGAGTGAGAGTTGCGATGCGTGATGTGATAGTGCGTTCGTGGGTGGTCTGACAGTATCTGTGCTAAGGGCTTGGGGCAGAAGGACCGGACAGCATGTGAGAGGCCGAGAGGTGGAAGACCAAAGCAAAGGGGCAGGCAGCATGGGTGAGTCACTCCAGGTCAGATTTAAAGTTCTCTTAACTTTGAAAGAAGTGGCAAACATTGAAGGAGTTTGAGCAGGGAAGCCCTGAAGGTAGATCTGCATTCACAAAGCATAACCAACTTGTACGTGAGAAGGTAGACCAAAATACGTGAAGGGGCTGAGGAAGCAGACCTGTTAGGGTGTCGGTGCAGCAGCATGGACTGACGCAACGGCTGACGCGTGTCCGCCCAGAGCTGGGCTGGGCAGAGAGCAGTCTTTGCAAAGAGCGTGAGCTTCATCTTGGTGTGCTGCACTTGGTGTCCCCTTGAGAGACTTCACGGAAGAGTTTTGAGCAAGTAGGTGTGTAAACTAGTTTCTGAAGCTTAGACAACCAAGGGATAATTTTAAATTTTAAACACTACCATTTAAAGCAAAGGAAAAGGAGAAGTTCTAGTAATCCTGAAACAAACCTAAGAGATTCGATAGCACACTTTTCCTGAAAGGCTTCCAGATGTGGGCTTTCAAAGAGTTGAGAGGGATGCAGTGATTTGCAAACTTTTCTTTGGGCCCTAAGGTGTCCTGAATGTGATTCATAGCACTTCGTACATGGAGGATCTGGCTAGATGAAGTGGGTAAGACTCTTACCTATCTCCAAAGGAGCTTTTCATATATTGGTTGTGATTTTAAATGATATTTTATGTTTAAAATATTCACATTTTAAAATTATCTACATTCATGAGTGGAAATTCTGATAGATTATTAAATAGCTGGGGAATTTTGTTCACACTCCAATGTATGAGGATAAAACTAGGAAAGGTTACTTTTATAACTTAACTCCCAAAGCATTTCTTTAGAGAATAACTATCGGATTAAGGGATGGTTCATTTGCTGTCATGCACATTTATTTTTATCCTTGTGATATTTTCATAAGATAATTTTCACAAAGAACAGGACAAAAGTTATGTCAGTTACTGGTGTAATATTACGAATTTTGGGTTGTCACCCAAGACCAGCAATTTGCTGAACCAGATTCTCTCCTTACATTTTGGACTTTTCTCTCAGTTCCTGTAGAATACTGTGTTCCATGTACAGTAGTCTTCTCCTTCGCAGGGAATAACCGAAGAATCTATTTTTGTTGGTGGTTACTTTTTATTAACTTAGTAATATTATTAACTTAGTAATTATTAACTTATTCCATATTATTAACTTATTCTATCTTGTATCATGTCGTTTATGGGACTAGTAAGTAATCTTGTCCTTTTGCTTGCTGTGAAGCAGTTACTACACATAAATCCTAGGGAACTACAGGAATCAAAGAGGAGTAATTTCTGCTTTGTTGCTCTTTCAAACTGATGTTCATCTTTGAAATGTGCTGGAAAAAATTAAATCCTTTCTGTCTTATTTCAGTGTGATCCACAGGAACAAACACCGTTCCAACATTTGTCATTTTAGGGAAGTGAAACGTTAGGAATTAAAGTGACAGGCTCAGAGAGAAGTTATACTGTGGAATAAAACTTCTACAATCCATTTGTAAGGATGAAAATGTATTTAGCTCATCTTAGTTAGTAAATACAGCAAACTGTATTTAAATATTGATCTGTTTTCAGTGAAATTAAGAAATGAATCCCAGAATGTAGAGGCGCAGAATGTAAGTGTATGCGCAGAATGTAAGTGTATGCGCAGTATTTCTGCTGTGATCTGCTATTGTGCTGTCATTTCAGTGGGTTGCTGATAACTGCAAATTCTGTTGTAAATCGTGTTTTTTTTTTTTTTTTCTTTTTTGGTGTCAAACTCGGGACTTCATACTTGCTAGGCAGACGCGATCCTGCTGAGCTATATTCCCAGCCCCTCTGTTGTAAATTGTAGTAGTTACCTGTAACGAAGTTTTTCTGGTAAAATTGGTTTACTCAGGACATAGTAGTGACAGTGACATTAGTATCTGTGTGTCTTCTGTCAGTGTAGATATCAACTTCACTTCACAGTTGAGGAGGTAAAGTTGTCTTGAGCAGGTTGCACAGGTCCTGATGTAAGAATTACACCTGTGTCCTTTAACAAATGGCATGGTGAAGCTCCAGCTTTTGACTGGACTCCTTGACATATGTTGAATGACTTAATGAAATATCATGTTTCACTTTCAGGAAGGTGGTAGTTTATTGCAAACATGTAAATATATACTAAGGAGTACCAAAGACAGTAGTTTTTAATCTGTGAAAAACAAGAGTATATTCAATAGAAAGTTTGTGTTTTTTATATCAGATTGCTGAGAATTCTTGAGGTACTGAGAGTGTTTTTTAGCATTTGGAAAGGAAAAACAAGCAAGTGCATTTTCTTAATTTGTTGAAAAGAGAACTATCTCTGCTTAGAAATAATTTAGGAAACAACATGGTGTCTTTGATAAAGTTAACCTGTTAGCAACAAAATGCAATCATGAAGTAACTGTTTTAACTGTCTAATTTTCTCTTACACTATGAAATTTGGTATCAGCAGTGAGTAGTGATATTTGTTATAGTTTAATTTTTAAAAGAGGTTTCATTTTGTGTGAATGCAAATCTTATTTTAATTCTTATCAATTCTGTGCTGAGATAGAATTTCCAAAGAAATCTGAAGTAGGCTACTTCAGTAGCTTTGGAGAATATAATTATGTACAACATTGAAATGTTATCATCGCTAAAATGTTTTTGCTTTTTCCTTTCAAAGAAAGCATCCCAGTAATTTCTGCCTTAAGTTTAATATAAATGCTAGTGAGGTTGATAATGATACTTGTTTATAAACTCTTTAACTATTAGAATCTGCAACTAAGATGAGCATTTGTGATAAAGTGATTTAATTCTTTGTCTCCTTCTTTCTCCATTTAATTCTTCGGTTGGTTGGCATTACCTGACTGAGTGAGTGTGACACACACTGAACCGTGTTAAATGGATGGTAATATTCACAGTAATGAAAGATTTGAGCTTTAAACATTCTCTCAAGCCCTGATATCCACATATAACAAACTGAAATGAGATTTTATTTGCATAATAAAGTAGTAAGAGCAAATTCGGTGTAATTTATTTCATCGCAACCCTTCATGTCCTTGGCATTCTGTTTTAATTTTTAACACCCATTTAACATGTGGCAGTGTGTATGGATTTAAATGAAATGAACATACTTCATTCTGTGTCCTTTATATTGTGCCATACTGGCATTTCAAGGAATGTGTCACTTACCTTGTTCCATTTAGTGAAAATATTATCCTTCTTCCTAAAGGAAAAGAAAGATAATGTGAGAATAAGACAGGTAAATGTTTAATGGCAATATAGAACCATAATAAATTTTATTGTCCAGCTTAAGGAAAGATCTATCATATTCGATTATGTCCGTCATCTTTAATTTTAAAGTTTTACATTTTACAATGCAATCTTTCTAAAAGGAAATCCACTGAATTCTACAATTATATTTGTAGGAAAATAATTTTAAGAGTTTAATGGGATAACATACTTAAACTTTTGTGGAAATGGACATTTTCTAGTATTGTTATGTGTTAGTCAAGTTCTTATGTCTTAGGATTTATATGGAATCTGAAATGAAAAAAAATAGAGCACAGGTTTATTGAAAACTTAAATTAATTTGTAACTAAGTTCTGTATAGAGGTATTCAACAATGTTTAACATACACAATGCAATTGCATGTTCAGTTTGTCTCGGGTCCTTAGAGGTGTATTTGGGAGCTGTGTAATAACATATGCTCTCCTGCTTCCAGAGGACTTCCATGTGCGCACTAAAAGCACCCGGAGAAAATGGCATTGAGTGTATGCTAACACTGAAATGTAGGAAAACAAGATTCCTGTTATCTTTAATATTATTTAAATCTTATTATTATAATTACATAAAAGTAACTTCTAATTTCAATGAGCTGTGTTACCGTTTTTTTTAAACCAAGTGGTAATGTACCTCTCTTTCAAAGGCTGTGTGTGTGTGTGTGTGTGTGTGTGTGTGTGTGTGTGTGTTCGGTCAGGCTTATTCAAGCATAATTTATAAACAGTGTATGCAGTCATGTAACCAGCATTATCCCTAACCTCACTACAGTTGCTCTAAATCACTGCTCTGTTTTTTGTAGTTACAATTTATCATCCTATGTCACTCATGATTGTTTACTATTTTGATTTTTCCTTTTTATTTTGAATAGTTTTTTCCCTGTCAGTTTTTACTAGTTTATCTTCTGTAGTTTAAAATCTGCTGTTAATTCTATCTACTTTAATATTTGTTTCTATTATTGTCTTTACTCCATGCATGACTTCTGAATATAAAATGTGTATCTTTTCAAATATCTGTTCAGAACTAAACCTTGTTGCTGAAGTTTTAACTCAAGGAAGTTATTTAAGTGTGTAGTGCCTTGAATCCTTCTGTCTGAAAAATGGGAAAATAGTTACATCCTACCTTATAATAGTAAATGTAATGTGTATATATACCACTTTGAATAGGAAGTAAACTCCCAAGTGAGTACTAGCCATGTTTTACTTATTGCTTACTATTCATAATTTAGTGAATTCTTGTTCTTAAAGAACTAAACATGCATATTATTTCTAATTCTCAGTAGAGAGAATTCCTTCCCTAAACACAGGTCCATCACTCCCAGCCTAGATCCTCTTTCCTCCAGAGGAAGTTCTAATGTGGATTTCTCAGGAAGTCCTTTCTGTAGCCTTTTGCCCAGACTCCTTCTCTTTCCTTGACACTGTATACAACACACCTTCTCTATAATTTGGTAGCTGTGCATATTTCCTTTGTGTTCACATGCTGTGTCTCTTTATGACCATCTTTCCACTGTGCTCCTGGACAGAGTAGCTTTTCATTTCATCTGTTGTATTTTCAGTCTCAAACAATAGCATCTATGTAGGAGTAGAGGGCAACATACAAAAGAATTAAGCAAGTTCTAGAAAAAGATTAACTTTCATTGTTTCATTTTCATTTTAGCAGATTACGTCAGCTCAACACATTCATTATGGCAAAACTATAGAATAGTAAGAGTTTAGCCCAATCACTGCTTGAAATTCCATGAAAACATGTCCTGACCGAATGAATGTCTTGCAGAAGACTTCAGGCCTGTATTCTGTGTCATTATTTATTAAAATGCTATTCAGTAACAAGCTGACTTTGGTGATGCTTTGTGATGCTGTTTCTTATTGGAAATCTTTGGCTGTATTTAGTTTCTTTGGTAGCTTGTTATGTGATCTCAGCATTTTCGTTCAGGTCAGAGCACATTGTGGTAGTTCTGCAGCTGGCCGTTGGCCAGAATTATAAGCGTTATCTACAAGCGTCATGAAATTGCTAGATAGCATTACCAGTGATGAGGTACAGAAACTCTGGGTAGGAGCCTATTTCATCTGACAGTAAAAAGATAATCGTATCTCTGTGACTTTTCCTCCTTTCCAAATCGTTGCCTTATATTTGTTTTAGATAGAAAGGAGCTGGTTTCAGAATATCATAAACTACCTGCACTACCATGGAGGTGGTTTACTGTGGAGGAATTTCAGTTACAAATTGCAACACCTTCTTTTTGACTTTGGACTTCCAAAACAGAGGAAAAATATGTCAATTCTAAAGTATTATAAATTATTTAATACAAAAAGGAATGATTTTCACTGTTCCAGAAAAGTTGTTCCTGTGGAAGTTAGGTATTATATATAATAATCAATAAATCCGAGGAATATAACAATTAATTTATCCTATAGTATATACCAACAAAATAAAATTATGGTTTTTGGTTGTCATGCATTTGGTAGTCATGCATCAATTTTGTAATTTGAATTATGGACATTCACAAGTGTAAAGTCTCTTCGGGCATTTATTTTTAATCCCATGCCTCTAAATATTTTTAGCCCATGTTTATCCCTACCACAATGTCTGGGTTTTCCTGTCCAAGGACAAGACCTTTTTCTGTGCTAGTACTTTCACAAGTAAAACAGTTGTTTGTGGAAAGCCTCTCGCGGCGCTCAGAATGCCCAGGAAATTGAGCTGCCTGGGACGTACCAAAGTGGATGCAGGGGAGAATTAACAGAGAACTATGAAAAGCTGAGGAAGAGGCAGTTTATGCATCGTCTTCTAGGTCCTGGTTAAAACCTAGTTTTATTTAAATAAAATGGTTAGGCATTGGAGAATAGTAACAGGAGAGGAAGGACATAATCAGACATATATGTAAAAATTTTCATTCTGGCTAGTTTTGGAAACTAGTTTAGAGGGAAATAAAAGGAGATGCCTAATAACCAAATAGGGAGGTCATTACAGTCGCTCACAGTAGTTTGCACTGAGGTGGGAGGGATGGAAGGAGCAGCACAGAGTTGAGATCCACTCGTACACAGAGTAAACGGGTCTTGCTACGGTCTGCATCTGAAGGGTGAAGAGGTGGGCAGAGTCAGAACGCGAGCTGGATCTCTGGTTTAGGCAAATGAATAAATGGTGATGTGTTTGAATAAAGTAAGCAAACCTGTGGGAGAGGAATTGGCTGACAATGAAAGGAGAGTTTCTTGAGAAACAGGAGTTGAGCCCTGGCTTAGATTGCAGAGGTTTATAATTTATGTAGGTGGAATTGTTAGGTAGGTTGCTGAAAAATTAGAAAAAATTTGTGTTATAAAGGTTAAGAGAGAGGAACTTCATCCTCTGTACCTTGGAAACATGATAGATACCAAAGCACTGTTTTCCCCTACCTCCTCATAACAGGGAGTGAATAGTAGACACGATCCTTGGGCTGAAAAAAATCTTACATTTTAAGTAGATCCAGCACTACATAAACATACAGATATATTTAAATTATATCTAAAATTAAGTTAATAGAGCCTAGTCTTGTGTTTATTGTAAGGAATTTGGGTATGTTAAATGAGTGAGGGATTTTGTTGGAGTTAGCAGTCTTTGGAGGGATTACACTATAAATTAGGTGCTGACAGATGACCTCACAGACTTGACCACATGGAAAATAACATACCTAGAGTTTGTCCCTTAAGTACCTGGGTATGGTACTGGATAGGAAGGGAACTCCCTTTGAATTTGGAGGTGATTGACTTCAAGCCAGTGGAAATGCTTCTTTTTAAATTTTTATGATCTATATTTTACTTTTTTTGTTTTAGAGAGAGTAGTAGAAAAAATAACAATAGCAACATACCAACATCATAGACATAAACACAACAAAGCAAGAACATTAAAAGTGATACAGGGTTTCAAAACAAAATGATAGGAATTAATAGTGGTTGTTATATTACATATTGTTATTGTCAACTACGTTGCTCAGATTACCAGATGTAAGAATGGGAGAATGTTCAAACTATTAAAGAGGATACAAAAGTATTAAATAAAACATTAGAGATAATATAGTTTTACTAGACAAGATGGCAGGAATTCACCAGTGGTTTCTTTCCAGAGTAAGATATTTTGAGAGTATTCTTGAGTTTTCTGACCATCCTATTGCATCTTTTGAAATAGCATTAAATTGAAAGTATTGGTCAAGGAAGAATTATAATTTTAAGGGCCATGAAAATTCCTACATACAGCATTAAGCCTCTTAAAGAACAGGAGATTGGAAGGAAGAGCATCATGAACTTGTATTTTTGATAATATTTAAAAATCAGTACAGTGTTTATTTACAAATAACAATTGTACATATCTATGGGTAACATTGTGATCTTTTGATATATGTATGTAGTGGGGATTGATGAATTCAAGCTAGTTAACATATCTACAATCTCATTTATCTGTATTTTTATGGTAGAACATTTTAAATTTACTTTTAGTTATTTCGAAACATACAACATATTATTATTGACTTTAGTTATCCCTGAATGCAGTAGATCTTAAAATATCCCTCTGTTGGTCTGAAACTTTGTACCATTTGTTCAGCAACTCTCAAGTCTACCCTGAGGTTCCAGTTACTAATACGCTACTCCCTGCTTTTTGAATTGTTCTAGAATTTTTATGCTGTGAAAACTTACAGTCTTTGTCTTTGTGTACATGGCTTAATTTACTCGGTATAATATTGTTGAGTTTATCCATATTGTCACAAATGTCAGAATTCCTTTGTTTTTAAAGGCTTAATAGTATTTCATTGTGTTCATTGCTCAAGTAAAAGGAAGTAAAAGTAAGACAAAGAGAGGTTAAAGTACTTGCTTCAAGCCACATAACTAGTTAATGGTGAAGCTGGTATTCTAAGTCAAGTGGTTCTGATCTAAGAATAGATGCATTGAAAAAGATATAAGACAGGTAGCAGTTTATCCCAGAAGAGTTAAGAGATATAGTTACTCACAGTGGGTTCTTTGCACCATAATTGGTACTTAGAAATCTCTTCACTTTTTTTTTTGTTGTTGTTTGTTTGTTTGTTTGTTTTGGCTTTTCTCTGGTTCCAGGAACCGAACTCACGCTTGCTGGGCAGGTGCTTTGCCGCTGAGCTAAATCCCCAGCCCAAAATCTCTTCACTTAATTATATGAATTACCAGTTTTTAGATTCCTAAGTCATTGTGGTATAAATTGTAATAAATAAATGGATAACTCATATGCACTTTTATTTTCTTATAAAAAGGTCTTCCCACATTTAACGTAGAAATGAAAATGAGTCGCTGGAAGATGATATATTTTAGAAATTCTTATTACAAGAGATTTAGGGTACTTGATCATATGTTAAAATATGTTTTAGAGTTTGGGATTGTCATTCATTACATATAGTGGTGGTCCATTATTTTGGAAAAGAAAAAGAAAAAGTAGGTTTGGAGAATATGAGATGATAAATATCCCAAAGCAGTGCTAGAAAAAAGCCTAAATATGTATATATACACTTTCCTGGCCATTCAGCTGAGAGAGCAGAATTAAACTCTTTCTCCTGCAACTCTGGACTATCTGCAGACTAGTATCTTAGGAAATTGGTACACAAATGGTGATAACTATTGTTTCAACATTTGATGAGCAGTTTGCAGCACAAAATTGGCTATTAGCCTAAAGCTTAAGTGCTTTGAAGGATCAGGAAAACAACTGACGCCAGCAAATTGACTTGCATTTGGGATGAGTGCCCAATGTTCTGACTAAACTTGTTGGTGTAACTTCCAAATCCCTGGGGACTTACGTTCCCTGATCTTTGGGAAATAGAGCAAACAGAAACAGGACAGTTTATAGAAAATCACTGTTAGAACTACCCTCAGCAGAACTTTCTACAAAATACTCAAGCAGAACATCCTATAGCAAAAATTTCATAGAAATCGAAGCATAACTAGGAGAGAGGGTCAGAATGTTTCTTTCATAATACTGGGAGGCCTGTGTAACTCCTCCAGTAGACCTTTGGCTGGGCAGTGCTGGCTTGTGATGGGATGGAGGGAATGAGAAGGAGCTGACCTGGCGGGGTTAAAAGCCTGGGCGAGCAAAGGACGAGCTTGAATAGACAGCGAGGAAACCAGGGACCCGTCAGTGCAGATGCCTTCCGAGGTGTGCGGCTGCACTGCAGGAAGGGAGCAGCTAGAGGGGAGGAGAGAGCCCTCTCAGCAGGAACAGTTCAGGGGAGGGACAAGGCAGGGGCATGCGCAGAACACTGTCCTCAGGGTGTGGAGCCTGGGTCCTAAAAGGAATGGAATATCATTAAAACACTGTTTGACTACCTTAGAAGAAGAGAATGAATTGTGTGGCTTTCCTGCTATTGAAGGGCTTATAAACTAGTGATAAATGTAGATCCACAGGTGCAGAATTCTGTATTCATGCACCACATGATGATGTCCTGAACAACAGCAGAACACGGAGCGATGGTGATCCTGCCGGGTTAGAATGTAGCTGAAAAATCCCCGTCATCCTGTGGACGCACAGCTAAAGGGGAGGCCCGAGAAAAGGAAACTGCAGGAGAGGAAAAA